AGATTCAAACAACTCCACCAAAAGACAGATGGAGCTAATAAACAAATTTGGCAAAGGAGCAGCTTACAAAATCGACATACAAAAACCAAGCTTTCCTATATACCAACAGCGAAGTCTGCTGAGAAATAATCAAGAGAACAATTCCATTCACAAAAGCCTCAAAAAAAGTTTAAAAAAAACCCATAAAAACTAGGGATAAATCCAACCAAGGAGACAAAACACCTCCTTAATGAAAACTATTAAGGTCAGAGCTGAAGACTGAAAAAAGAAATTGAAGACCTCAGAAGATGGAGCACTACTCATATTCATGGATAGGCAGAATTAATATTGTTAAAATGGCCACACAACCAAAAGCAAGATAGAGGTTCAACGCAATTCCCATCAAAATACCAATAATATTCTTAACAAAACTAGAAGAAAAAAACAGTCCTAAAATTCATTTGGAAGAATAAAAGACCCAGAAGCACCAAATACAATTCTAAGCCAAAAAAAGCAATACTGGAGACATTAAGATACCTGACTTCAAATTATACTACAGAGCTTCAGTGCCAAAAACATGCCTTGGAGAAAAGACAAATTAACAAATGGTGTTGGGAAACTGGTTATCCATATGTAGAAGAATGAAACTAAGCAGTTATACCCCACACAAAAATCAACTCAAAATGGATCACAGACCTAGGAATTAGATCAGAAACTATTCAACTCCTAGAAGAAATCTTAGGGTCAACATTCCAGCATTTAGGCACAGGCAACAACCCTCTCCATAGGATCCCTACAGCTCAGGAGGTAATGCCAGGAGTTAATAAATGGGGTGGCATCAAGTTAAAAAGCTCTTGCACAGCAAAGAAAACAATTAGGAATGCAAAGAGAGAATCTACAGAGTGGGAGAAAATACTCCTAGCTACTCTTCTGACAGAGGATTAGTATCTAGAATATACAAAGAACTCAAAAAACTTCACACCAAAAGGTCACATAACCCAATTAATAAATGATCAAATGAACTAAACAGACACTTCTCAAAAGAAGAAATACAAATGGCCAACAATTACATGAAAAAATGTTCTACATCATCATTAATTAGGGCAATGCAAATCAAAACTACCTTGAGATTTCATCTCACACCAGTCAGAATGGCAGTCATCAAGAACACAAATGATAATAAATGCTGGACAGGATGTGGAGAAAAGGGAACACTTTTACACTGTTGGTGGGACTGTAAACTAGTATAATCTCTATGGAAATCAGTATGGAGTTTCCTCAAAATTCTAGGCATGGAACCACTCTACGACCCAGCTATCCCACTCCTTGGTATTTATTCTGAAGAATCAAAGCCATCATGTATAGTGACCCATGCATAGTCATGTTTATAGCAGCACAATTCACAAGAGCCCAACTATGGAACCAACCTAGGTGTCCATCATTGTCTGAATGGATAAAGAAAATGTGATGTATATGCACACAATGGAGTTTTATTCAGCCATAAAGAAAAATGACACCATGGCACTTGTAGGAAAATGGAAGGGACTAGAGACCATCATCTTAAGTGAAATAAGTCAAACTCAGAAGGTTAAGGGTGGAATATTTTCTCTCAGATGCAGAAGCTAGAGAGAAAGAAGGAAAAGAAAGTCAGGGGTGGATCTCCTAAAAATCAAAGGGAGATCAGTAGAGGGAATGGACCGAAGGATAGATCAGAGGTAGAGAAGTAGAGAAGGAGGGGCAAAGTGCTAGGGAGTGATATTGGCCTAATTAATTATATTGTTGAATTGTGTGCATGTGTGATTATGTAACAACAAATCCTATCTGTATGTATAGCTATAATGCACCAATAAAATGACGTGGGGAGAAAAAGACATAAGAGCCCCAGGATCTAAGAGATTAAGGTGTTCCCAATATAACTAAAAGGTTAACAATAAATCAAGATGGGTGCAGTGGCGCGCATGAGTAATCTCAGTGGCTCGGGCGGCTGAGGCAGGAGGATTGCAAGTTCAAAGCCAGCCTCAGCAACTTAGGGAGCAACTTAGCAACTCAGTGAGACCCTGTCTTCTAAATAAAATATTTTAAAAAGAGCTGGGATGTGGCTCAGTGGTTAAGTGCCCCTGGGTTCAATCCCTGGTACTCCCACACACACACACAAAAAAAAATAATAATAAAATAAGTGTTTAAAAGGTCATTTACAAATATTTTAACAAAAATAACATGTCTCTGAAAAGATAGTAAGTGGGTAGATCATTTTCCTAGGGATACTGTAACAAACCCTACAAACTGGGTGGTTCCAAAGAACATAAATTTGTTCTCTTGAAGGTTTAGAGGCCAGAAGTCTGCCATGGAGGGTTGGCAGGGCCACACTGTCCGAAGGCTGTATGGAGAATCTTCCGTGGCTCTCCAGCTTCCAGTGGCTCCTGACTTTCCTTGCTTATGTCAGCATCACCCAGGCCTGAGCCTCCATCTTTAGGTGGGCTTCTCCCCTTAGTCCCTCTCTGTGTCTTACATGTATCTCCTCCTTTCTCTACAAAACCAACCACTGAATTTAGGGCCCACCCTAAACCCATGATTATCTCATCATGGGGTTCTTTGCTCAATTACATCTGCAAAGACCTTCTTTCCAAATAGGGCCCTATTCACAGGTACCAGGGGTTAGGAGTGAACGTATCTTTTGGGGGGACACTAGTCAATGCACTGCCGTAAGGAACAGTGTTTTCTCCTAGGAAGATAGGGTTCAGGATGGGAAGAAGACAAACTTCTCCCTGTATATTCCTTTGAACTTCACTGCCTGTACCCAGGGCAGCAGGCTGGTGATCAGTGGCCAGGATTGAGGGACCAGATCTGAAAAGAAGAAAGAAGTGACACAGCGGGCAACTTACAGTGAAAGATAATTAATGAGGGATGAAAACCTGCCAAGTGGCAGAAGGCCCAGCTGGGGCCGGTCCCCCAAAGAGTGCAGTGGAGGATGTGGGATGAGAAGTGATTGCCCCTCGGGTTCCATCTGTTGAGGAGCCCAGGGTGCCTGTGGGGCTTCCTTCCTCCCCCGCTTCCATACAAACACCCCTGGTGCCTACTGGACAGGGGTCCCCTCCTTGCCTGAAGACATCCCAGTCCCTCTGTGCATATGCGTCATCATCCTCTGGGTACACATTGGGAACCCCTGACAGGTGAGAAGCCTTTCATGGGGGAAGGCTTGCTTCCAGCTATTCTTAGCAACTCTTGCTACAGGAGGATGACTTTGATGAGAAAGCTGCCAACAGCAAGTTTGAAATACAATTCTGTTTACTGGCAACAGGAAAGAGAGCCTCCAGTTCTCCTTTTAGCAAACTGTAATGTAACTGTAAAACTCCTGTTTTGTGCCAGAATGGTGGGGTGTTTGGTTGGGGGATGAAGCAAAAGAACTAAAGTGGGTAACTTTGGTCTCACCTCCCAGAGGCCACTGTCAACCCCCTGGTTATATAGCTTTTGTTCAGTGAGCCCTCTGAAGTGAGGTCTTTCCAAACAAGATGGAAAGGGCAGCAATTTGGACTCTAAGATCCAGATTCTATCCTGAGAATCTGCTGCACATCTATCGAGTGGGATCCTAAAGCCACCTTTGTTTTTTGCTTCCGGGAAGAGTGCACCTTATGTTTTGTCACACAGCAACCCAGGGTTTGAGCTTCCCTTTCCCCTTTGCATTCTCCTGTCTGGCACATAGTAGGCATCTACTGGACCTTGTCCTGTTGAGTTCTTGGACATGGTGCATAAAAGGAATCTGTGCAAAATGAATTGCAAAATGAATTGTTTGAAATACTGAGCTTGTGCCTACAATGGAATTTCCAATGTATCTATATGCCATCTCGGAAGATTTAAACACCGAATAGACTCCTTTGAAATGCAATAGGCTGGAAATCAAAAGGAAGCAGTGTCTTCAAGGTACAGCTATGGTGAAGTACAAGTGTAAGGTGCCTAAGGGACAGAGGCCAGAAAGGGATCCAGGCAGAATTTAGGATGTCAAGTTACAGTCCTTGCAAAGAATTCAGTGGGCAGTGACGAGTGTGCAGTCAGATTGATTAGGAAGGGTCACCGAGTGTGCAGTCAGATTGATTAGGAAGGGTCACCGGTCACAGGAAGGAGGAGGGCCCAGGGAGGTTGTTCAACATCGTTCGAGGGAGCAGAGAAGGCATGGTTGACAGGTGGCCAGGCAGACCCCGGAAACACTAGTGAGGTGGGCCAACAGAACTCGGAGTCTGGCATCTCTGGCAGGGCGCAGGGTGAGAGGCGGAGACGGGACAACTCTCCCAGCTTTCAGCCCAATTAGGATTTGGGATTGTCTTTTACTCCCTATGAGCGTAAAGTGACGCTGTTTGGGGAGGGCGAGGCCGAAACCTGATCCTTCAGTCTCCGGGCTCCGTTAATGTTTAATCAGATAGGATCGTCCGATGGGGCTCCGGTGGCGTGATCTCCTGGACCGGGGCGTCGGGCACCCACACCCCAGAAAGTTTCCTCCCCGAAGTCGAGGCACCCGTGGCTTCAGGCAGTCTCAACGCCACTCCCCTCTGGGTCCAAGCCTGTGGGAGGGATCCCTGCAGCCAGACTCCGACTGCCCGGGCGGGAAGTGACAGCCGCGAGCCCCAGCACTCTTGGCGCGCTTGGCCCAGCTGGGTCCTGAGCTCCCACTCACCCACGTCCTTCCTCCTTCCAAAAGAGGATGCGGTCTCTTGGGTCCCCAGCAGTTGGAACGCAAATCGCCCTGATGGGCACCGGCAGCTCTACGCGGCCATGGTGGCCACTGCCATCGCTGCTGCTGCTGCTACTGTTCCTGAGCCCCGCGAACGCCCATTCCCAGGAGGACGAGGACGGCGACTATGAGGAGCTGGTACTCGCCTTTCCCTCCGAGGAGGACGGCCCAGCCGAATCGGCCCCGCACATGTCCACTGCCACCTTCCATCGCTGCGCCAAGGTGCGGGCGCTGGGGTAGGAGGCGGTGGCGAACTTGCCACCGGGACGTGTAGGGATGCCACTTCTTCTCCTGCCCAGTTTCCCAGTGTAAGGGAGGGGCTGGAGTGAAGGTCCAGAGAGTCTTCTGCTGGTCCTGTGATGGCTTGGCGCGGTCTGGGGAGGACAGGCTAGGTAGTTGGCGAAAGAGCACTGGCAGCGCTTGGAAACGGGCTCTGGAGCGTGCGGCTGCACGATGCGGTGGAAGGGTAGCTTGGATGGGGGGGGGGCACTGTCAACCACGAGGTCGGCGAGCAGAGTACTGTCCAGATCGCCTGCTGGGATTCTAGAGGCTCCACTGACCGCGCAGCTCCAAAGGGTGAAGGAGTCAACACCCCAGTGCGCTCAGAATGGCCCAGGGTGCAGAGGGAGCAGGCTTATTCCCGTGCGTTCTGACTTGGTTCTGGGAGTCTCCCCGGAGGAGAGTGTATCATTTATATAGGGGTGGAGGATGGGGGCGGGAGGCAAATCCTTGGTGCCTTAGAACTCCAACTCAGGCACTGCATTTTTTTCCCCCAGCTGAATAAAAGAATAAACTGAAGGGGAACGTGTTGAATTATTCTCGAGGTTGATGGGATCTTTGGTTAGAGGAAGGTCTTTCAGTACTGGGGACCTTGGGTGGCTGGTGCGCCAGGGACCCTGGAGCTGAGTCCTGCAGGCAGATGCGGGTCTCCTAGGGTGGGCGTGGCAGGTTCCTGAACCTTTGCTTTGCCCTTGGGCCTGTTCTGTAGGAAGCTGCTGCCTAGGGTGGGGCTGTTGATTCCCTTTAGTTATAACCTTTCAAAAGTTCGGCTGAAATAATGTTACCTGAGCTTTGAATCAGACATGGGGTTATCCTTGGCTGCTTCTCTCTAGCTGTATGGAGCTTGGCAAACTGCTTAAACTTGAGCCTCTATTAAAGGGGAAATGGCAATCCTTTCTGAAAGGGATGAAGGGGAAGGAATTCTGGTGATCCCTGAATGACTCCCGGATGTAAGAACCAGAAGCAGCTACTTGTTGCAGGTAGTTATGTCCCTGGTTGCAGTGTGACCTGGCCACACCCTCCATGCACAGCTGGGTTGGTGGGTGGTGGGCAAATGAGGATTCTGTGCTCAAAGCTGCCTGGCCTGCTCTTCTGTGTGCTGGCATAGTGTCTGGCCTTCATTCAGTTCCCAGCACCCTCTTCTTTCCCCCTGATCCTTTCACCTGTAGAGAATATCTTGAGGCTGTGGTCTCTCCTACCCCCAAATAACTGTTCCGGCAGGAGTGAGTACCCCATCCTGGGAGGTCAGTGAGAGGAGGCTGGATAAGCACCTGGCCACATGCTTGAGGCTGTTTCTTCCCTGGGGGAAGTTTGGAAAAGCTACTTTGTGAAGTTCACTTTTTCTTCCATGCAATGAATATTTCATGGGAATAGAATTTAAAATGAAAATGTTTTTGGCAAACAAAACGGTTTTAGGCCTATCCTTTATTTTCATCCTGAGAAACCAAGGCCCAGAATGGAGGTGCACCAACTCCCTGGTGCGTTAGAATGAGGCTTCAGAGAAATCTTGTTGAACTGTGCAGAGCGTCCTCCTGATTCACAACATTTTCATTTAGTGGCGAGCACCTTACATGGGTCTCTGACCATAAACAGGAGCTCAACAATGAATGTGGCAGGAGAATTTTACTCTAATGGAGGGAGCCACATGAACAAGGTCCAGATCTGGGAAAGACAGAGGTGGAGCTTAAGGAAGCAGTGACATCTCCATCTCCCGAAGTGTAAATCGTTCTGAAAACAATAGGTATTTTTTTTAGATTTAGTTTTATATATTTAGAATTTTTAATTGGCATAGTTATTGTACATATTCATAGGGATACAATGTGATATATGGGTACTCGTAGGTAGGTAACGTGCAATGATCAAACATTTAGCATTTATTTATGGTGAAAAAATTCCAAATCCTCTCTTCTAGCTATTTTGAGATATGCCATGTATTACTGTTATCTAGAGTCACACAGCTTCAAAACTTTTTAAAAGTCCCCTTGGATGTCCCATCTGCTTTATTTTCAGAAAAGTGTTCCCCACAGGGTCTCGAGACTGGAGCATCCTGAGCCGTCTCTCCTCCTGTCCATCCTGCTCTTTCCTTCCTCCCCAGGTTTTACTTCCAAAGCTGGTTGATCTTAGCTGTGACATTGTCATTCATCTCCTGCCACCTCACTTTTAAAAAATCTTTCCTTTGACAGACTTTCTGGGCTCTTTTCTGCCTTTCATCTCTGAAAGCAAAAGGCATTTTGTAATCTATTCAGTGGTACATTCTCGCCGGAACTGACACGAGATTGTTCATGATCTTCGTTGATTCCTCTTGTGCACAGACGCATGCATTTGGCTGTATAGAAGAAGGTGCAAACTCCTTAGAGCTGGCTCCCTGGCTACCCATTACCGACTTTTAAATCCAAATGAATTCAGATTCTTGAGACCCTTCTGGTCCTAAAACTTTGAATGAAGGGCTGTGGACTCTCCTCTGCTGGAGTGCATAGACAGAGATGCATGTGGGCGGCAGGCTGCAGAGGTATGTTGAGGCAGAGTGGCCAAGGAGGACATGGAGACTGAACTTCATTCATCAGTCTATGGTGAACCATGGAAGCTTCTTGAGCAGGTGTGTCTGCTTGAGACCAGTTGTAGCTGGCAAGAGCAAGACCAAACAAATCTCTGACAGTCTGCAGCCTTCTGCCTGCATTATACAAACTTCTCTCTTGGCCTTGACAGCAGACCTGTTCCATAGGTATTGTGGTTCTTGTAATACAGAGGAGACATCAGAGGCTCAGAAAGGTTGAGTGACTTGCTCATGGCCACATAGCCAGTAAACCTTGGAGAGATGGGATTCAGGTCCACATTTTCTGGCTCCAAAGCCCATGAATGTTCTCTTTTGCATTGCCTCTGAAGGGGAGTCATGGAGGTACTAGGATGGGGAGAAAGTGACTTTTTTTTCTGACTAAGGTATTAGGGAGGGAGTGTGACTGGAAAGGCTTCTGGGAATGGCTGGCTTTTGGGCAGGGCTACCAGGAATGACCAGGCCTGGGTTGTCCCTAGAGAGGTTACAGAAGAGACTTTGTTGTTGAGTGTACCCCACAGTTCCCCTTTGTGCCTGACAAACTCTGAAGTGTATAAACTATGATAATGCTAAGAGTTGGCTTGTATGTGGGTTTTGCTTTTCAGTCCTAATTTGGTAAATTCTGTTTATAGTTTACTACACTCCATTGTGATTCTTTTGTCATAATCCTAATTTGTAAACAGAGGGGGATAAGGTTAGGGCAGGGCTTGTTGGTATTTTTTTTTTTAACTGGTGCTTTATAGATGAATGGAATTATGGCATTTGCTAGTAAATGGATGGAACTGGAGAACATCATGCTAAATGAAATAAAGCTAGACTCAGAAAATCAAGGGTTGAATGAAACCTTTTTGGCTAGAGCAAAATGAGGGGGAAAAAGGGAGTGGGGCTCTGATAGCATAAAGATAAAGGGTAGCTCAGTCGAGCAGAAGGAGATTGTTGGGATTTTAATGTTATTAATGTTACTCTTCCTTGCTTGGGGCCAGGATGCCTGGAGGTTGCCGGGCACCTATGTGGTGGTGCTGGGGGAGAGAAGCCACCGATGGCAGACGGAACGTGTGGCCCGACGTCTGCAGGCCCAGGCTGCCCGCCGGGGTTACCTCACTAAGGTCCTGCATCTCTTCCACGACCTCTTTCCCGGCTTCCTGGTGAAGATGAGCAGTGACCTGCTGGACCTGGTGAGTCACCCTCTCTGGGCATGGCACTTTCTGATGGGGCTGGATGCCACTTACATGTAGAGCATTGACATTAGTGTGCCCATTGCTAAAAATCAGGGGGAGACACAAGTAATTACTGAGTATATACCAAGTGTACCACTGGCACCATGCCTGGTGATTGCTGGCTCAGTGGGTAGATGCCTTAGAAGCCTGGCCATCCCCAGTTTATCTGAATTTGAAATGAGGATTCCAAGGTTCAGAAAGGACCATGCAGACAGCTAGGAGTTGGCTTCTATGTGGGTTAGCCGGTGTCTAACCTGGCAATGTACTGGCGGCTGGATGCCTTTTGTGCTAAAGTATGTGCTACTTGTTCCTTATGGGGACAAGGCCCTGGGACACTTGATAGAGTCTCAGTCATTTCATAAAAGCATATAAAAGGGGTCTAGGGTTGTGGCTCAGAGCTCTTTCCTGGCATGTGTGAAGCCCTGGGTTCGATCCTCAGCACCACAGATAAATAAATAAAGTAAAAACTCCATTGGCAACTAAGATGTGTTTTTTTTATAAATCATATAAAAGGACATGGGGACAGGTTTGATCAGGTGGTGCTGGCCAAATGGCACTGAAGCAGAGTCCCCCGACCTGTGTCTTCTGCAGGCCCTGAGGTTGCCCCATGTTGAGTACATCGAGGAAGACTCCTCTGTGTTTGCCCAGAGCATCCCATGGAACCTGGAGCGGATCATCCCTGCACACTACCAGGCCATGGAACAAAGAGCCCCCCGTAAGACCCCCGTTGTGCCTGGCCCTCCGCACCCTGGCTGAATGCCCGTGCTCTGTTGTGGTCTCTCTTCTTCTCAGAGGCTTGGGACTCAGCATACTCTGCTGACTCTTCTGCTCTGGTTCCAACAGCTCCCTCTTGCTCTCTCTTCCTCCACCCAGAATGCAGGTGTTTTTCCTTAAGTGATGCTATCTCACCTTCTAGAAGCTCTTGTTCATCTCCTCTCCAAGGCTACACTTGTCTTGGGAAAGGCTGCATCTGACCATGACTCATGGTGTCTGAATGCCCAGCCCTGCAGACAGGATCAGACCTCTGAGTGGGACAGACATGGCCCCATCTGGACTGCCCCCACCTAGCTCTCGGTCTCCTTGCCTGCCCATCCTGCCTTCAGTTCCATTAGACCCAGTGGGTCTCCCTGGGTGGGCTGTGCCATGTCCCCTCCAGGTCTTGCTGCCCATACTTCCTTCTGCCTGGTGCAGCCTGCGTATGAAGGGTGAGGAGGAGAGGCCAAGAAGAATGGCCTGGGTCGTGTCAGGGCCCCATGGGGGACACTGAGTTGGGGAAGGCTGTAAACACACCTGCTTAGGGGAGGAGATCAGTTCTAGTTGGACCATGTTGAGTTTGAGATACCCACAGCCTGAGGTTGAGCTCTGTGGAGAGTCGGTGCAACACGGAGTGAGGCCTCGGATCTCGGGGTGATCACAGCCTCCACCCCTTCCCTGAAAATTGCAGGTCTTTGGGAGCTGCTTCCCTCTCTGAGCCTCTTTGTTCCTCATCTGTAAAATGAGCAGAGTAACCTGTCCTTGTCTTCCTCTCAGGGTTGTTGTGAGGCTCCAGTGAGGTGAAGCATGTACCAATGCTTTGGGAACTGAAAGGTGCAGTGGCTTCTGAGTTGCTGTCCTTGTGACAGGTCAGGGGTTGTGCACAAGGTAGAGGGTGAGGAGATGGAGCGCCTGACACAGGTGGCCGCTGCAGAGGGTGGGGCTTGGTCTGGGCAGACTGTAGCAGAAAGTTCCAGGTTGGTTTTGCAGGAGGAGCTGCCTGCTACTGAGGTGCACCTCTCCAGGTGGGGAGTCCTAAGGCCCCGAGGATCCCAGGTCCACATCCAAGGGCCAGAGGGCAGCGAGGCCCCAGCCAAGCAAGAGTGAGGGAAGGCTGTGCTCCTGAATAAGTTTCTAAGCATGCTGTCACCAAGTACCATAAACCAGAGGCATAGATGAGAGAAGCTTCTTCTGTACAGTCTCCTTCTGCCACAGGGTACAGTGGACAGTAGCATAGAGGATGGAGAGATGATAGGCTGGGGCAATCCAGCTCTGGCAGCATGGTGTTGTACGGTGGGAAGACAGAGGACAGGGGGCTGACCTTGACTGAAATTAGCATGGGATTTCAGAGAAGCCACTGAGATGCTCTGTCGCAGACTGAATGATACACACACTCAGAGCCTGTGAATGTGACCTTATTTGGAATAAAGGTCTAGGTAGATGTAATTAAGAATATTGAGATGAGATCATCCTGGACTGTCCAGCAATTTCTCAGTCCAGTGCCTTTCCTTGTAAAAGAGGCAGAAGGACAGTTGAGACACACAGAAGAGGAGGCCATATGGAGTGATGGCAGAGACTGGAGGGATTTGACCACAAGCCAAGGAATGCTAGTAGCCACCAGGAAGTGGAAGAGGCTCCCTATTGCCTTTGCAGGGAGTATGGCCTGGTCAACCCCTTGGTCTTGAACTTCTGACCTCTGTATCTGTGACAGAATGTCTATTGTAAGCCACTGTGTTTGTGGTAATTTGTTACAGCAGCTCTACATAACTAATACACATTTTAGTCCTGTCATGAGATGTGACATCATGTCACATTGAAAATGAAGCATTTTCAGTGGGTCACCATGGCAGCCTTAGAAGAAGGTTGTAACAGAGAATGCACAAACCTGGTGCCAAGAGGCCCAGACTCATGCAGCCTCTCCCAACCTCCGTTTCCTCAGTGACATGAGCTGGCTGGCTCAGGTGGACCTGCTTTTCTTCTTGAACTCTTCAACTGGATCAGTGACCTTTCAAAGGCTATAAATGTGGGCTTGGTGTATTTACACTATCATATTTATTGTTTTTTGAATGCCCCTTTTGTTAGTGTTATGGAGTCAGAGACCTTGGTTCACTTTCTGTCTCTGTCTTCCAGCTACTTGGCCTTGGACAGTGCTATGCCTTTCTGTGCCTTACTGCATTCGTCTTATAAAATAAAGACTTAACAGCACACAGCCTGAATTTTTGTAAGGTTAAACGAATTTATGTATTCACGGTGCTTACAGCAGGGCCGGGGATGTGGTAGACAGCTTGTGTGCAGTAGTTATAACACTGACCTCATGGGTATCCTCTCCTACAAACGCTGCCTTGGAAAGATGGAGGTGGCCTGGTGGAGGTTTATCTCTTGGACACCAGCATCCAGAGCAGCCACCGGGAAATCGAGGGCAGGGTCACTGTCACCGACTTTGAGAATGTACCTGAGGAGGATGGGACACGCTTCCACAGACAGGTGAGCATGACCCTCAGGTGGGAAGGCTGCCCCCATCTCTCACTCCCCTCCTGGAGCTGGTGGGGACCACCCCCTCCCTGGAGCATTGTGGCTACATGACCCAGCAGCCACTGTCCCTTCTTTACTGTTGGATGTGGGGAGGGGGGGTCAGTCTATCCACCCACCACTGATGTGTCATGGGCTGGGTGGGCTTTCTCACGTGGTCCTTGTGTTGCTTGAGCAGGCTAGCAAGTGCGACAGCCACGGCACTCACCTGGCAGGGGTGGTCAGCGGCCGGGATGCTGGTGTGGCCAAGGGCGCCAACCTGCGCAGCCTGCGCGTGCTCAACTGCCAGGGGAGGGGCACTGTCAGCAGCACCCTCATAGGTGAGTGGCAGCCCTTGACAGCACTGGTCTCTCTCCATCTGGACCTGGTGTGGGAGGGGGTGGGTTAAGCCAGAGAGCACTAATTCCCCTGACTGAGAAGGCTGAGGCCACCCCTGCCATGGAGGTCCAGAGTGTTAGAGAGGGCAGGGTCCTGAGGCCACAAGTGCAAATGGAGACACTGAGGTCAAGTGGGTGGAGGCTCTGCCAAGCGGGCGCTCTTCCCACGATTCCTCACTGTCCGCCTTTCCAACTCCTGTGAAATGGAGTTGTCACTTTATCTTGGATTCAGATGAACCCTGAGGTCATC